ACCGCCTAAGAGGGTGCTCTTCTGCTGGCGACTTGCTCTTCTCTTTACACTAGGGACACTGTATAGGGACATTCCTTCCGAAGTCCATCTTATGCCATTATTCCTCTAACCTCATTTTCCAAGCCAATTATGATCCCATTATCTCTGTTAACTTGCTACATTATGCACACATAGATTACTGAAAATGAAGAGCTGACAATCTTAATATTTAACTGCTTTTCATAACATGGCATTTGTTTGGAAATGAAACTCTGATATGGTGGCATTTCTCTTTTGTATACTGTTCGATGACAGTCAATTAACTGCAAAAGAAAACCAAACAAAATCTTAGTTGCGTTTTTCAGGAAGAAAGGGTACTTCTGCATAAGCCCAGATTACTGATATTCATCTCTTTAAAATGAAAAGGGGAACGTGGGGACCTTAAAGAGAAACATCACCTCAGAGCTATAGAAAATATTCCTTCTCCAAGGAAACAGGGTGAATCTGATGAAGGAAATCTCATCCCCATCAACACAGACTGTCCCAACATGGGTCAGAATCATAAATGGAGGTTATTTACTCATAGAAATCCATTCCATTCAAACACAAATTGATTGACAACAGTCATCCACTCAAATACATAATAAGCACCAACTATATGCTAGGCACTGGAAGTTGAGGTTCAATAAGACATAACCAATCTTTGCCTTCAAGGATATCATGTCATTAAAGAGGTGGCAGAAAAGTATAAAGAGCCACATTAGGAGAGAATGTATGCAAAATGAAGAGTATGTAATGTATGCAATCAGAGGCAGTGATGATCAAGTTGAGCATTAAAGATTTAGTTGTAATGAGTGAGACAAAGTAGAAGAGGAACATGATCTTGTTGATATATGAAATCGTCTGTACAGAAACATCAAAGATATAATCTGGTTGCCTGCAGCTGGAATAGTTCTTCAGAAAAGTTCTGTTTGATCTCAGCATCTCTCTCTCTCTTTAATCGCTAAGTTGTGTCTGACTCTTGCAACCCCATGGACTGTTTTCTGCCAGGCTCCTCTGTCCATGGGATTCTCCAGGCAAGAATACTGGAGTGGGTTGCTATTTCCTTCTCCAAGGGATGTTCCTGACCCAGGAATTGAACCTGGGTCTCCTGTATTGCAGAGAGATTCTTTACCAACTGAGCTATGAGGGAAGCCCTTGGTCTCAGCATAGGGTTTTAAATTTGACTTTCAGTGGGTTTTTGCACACTTGCCATAGTTTTCGCTGCCCCCTATTACCTTAAACTCAGGCTGTTTTACACACTTATGTGGTCTCTAAATACATTGGCATTTTCAAAGTGTGGCATGAAGAAAGCAAACAGAATGAGGCAGGCATTGGAAAAAGCAAAGTGTTAATAGCTTGGTGTGGGCAGAACGAAGGGTGGATGCAGTGTAGAAGAAGAAAGGAATCTTCAGACATGTGAGGGTATCAGATATGAAGGGCCTCGTATGCACTGATGAAGAATCTAAGTTCCACCCAGAAAATTAAAGGAAGCAATTAAAGCAGATTAAGCAGGAAGTGTCAGGGCCAGATCCATCTTATAGAAAGATCACGAGGCAACAGTGGGCAGGATGGAATGGAAGAGAGAAAAAATGGAGACAAGGAATAAGTCCTAATATTATTGATTAAACCAGGCTGGATATCGTAAAGGCCCACATAGTAAGCATCAGAAAATGTGTGGGACATATCTTTTGAGATATTAAAGAGGTTAAAAGAATACAACTTAGCGGATGATTGTTGTGGGAAATGATTAAAAGGGAAATGTCTTGGATGAAGTCAATTTTCTGTCTTAGACAGCTAGACTGATGTTGCTGCCATTTACCAAAACAGGGAGGGAAGATTAAGTTGTGGGAATGAAAACTCTTTCTTTTTTTGTCCTCACTCATCATCCCCTTGTGTAGACATAAGTGCTCTGCTTGTATCTCTGGTCCTGCAGTTGAAACAAGGCACCAAGGATGGAGATTGTTGTTTCCTTAAGAGCATATTAGACTCAATCAGATGATCCAGTTTCACACCATCTCTTTATGTAATCTTGGACATGTTATTTTTCTGTGCCTCAAGTATCTCATCTGTAAGATGGAAATACTAAAACTTTCTGCTTAACCCAAGGCTTGTTGGGAGATTGAATGTGCTGAAAAAAGTGAATTTACTTTGGGAAGTGCAAAGGGTAATGTATTACCTAAGAGGTGAATTAAGTCTCTCGGGCACATTCATGTCAGAGAATTAAGTATTGACCCAGAGGTTATCATACAGGCTGATTAAACTGCAGCAAGGGATATAACAGGCTTGCTGTGTCAAAACTGGAAGCAAATGAAGATAAAATAAGTAAAGTGTAAACTATAGATACTCAGACGCTCAGTTGTGTGTGACTCTTTGCGACCCCATGGACCACAGTCCACCAGACTCCTCTCTCCATAGAGTTCTCCAGGTAAGAATACTGGAGTGGGTTACCATTTCCTTCTCCAGAAGATCTTCCCCATCCAGGGGTCAAAGCTGGGTCTCCTGCTTTGCAGGTGGATTCCTTACCAACTGAGCCACAAGGGAAGCCTAAGTGTAAACTGATGAGATGCAATGAAACCTTCAAAGTCAGATCAGACTGACAGGGAAATGATCTCTCTGAGGAGTCAGGGGATAAAAAGCACCTAGAAGCATTCTGGATTTGTTTTTAAGGTCCCCCCGCTGTCTCTGTAAACCCTCATTCAAACATTGCATTCAAACCCTAGAATGTAATGCTTATGCAGAAGCTCGTGAGCTGCACAGGGCATCTGGAGATACCGTCTACCCTGTGTATCTTTCAGGAATCCTGCCTCCTTTGGGGCTGGATGTTCATTTGTGGATGCTGAAGATCCAATTTGACAGTGATCTCTGCCTCACATCCTTTTGGGAGCCTCTTCTCAAGCAGATGTTCAGTGGAGCCCTGAAGCATGATCATAAAGAGTTTGCTTACACATGGGGTGGTTTTCTTAAGCAGGATGTGGATGAGGTGGCTATTAACAAGACACCCCAAATACAGTAGCATAAAGAAGAGAGAGATTTATTTCTTTCTCCTTTAGAAGTCTTGTTAAGTGGCCCAGGGCAATGTTGAACCTGAGCTCCTTTTACCTTAATGCTCCATCATTGTCTTACCCACATGTCTAAAAGTAGTTCGATGTTATAATTGCTGGAAGTACATCTTGGCCGGCAGAGAAGGGTAACAGAGAGGAGAAAGCACTCTTTCTCTTTTAAGATCATAATGCAGAAGTCGCTTATGTTCAACCAGGCAGAACTTCATCTTACGTTTAGGATTCCCGGGTGGCTCAGTAGTAAAGCATCCACCTGCCAGTGAAGGAGACACTGGTTCCACCCCTCGGTCGGGAAGATCCCCAGAGGAGGAGATGGCAACCCGCTCAAGTATTCATGCCTGGAAACTGTTATTGAGGAGGAGCCAGGTGGGCTCTGGTCCGTGGGATCGTAAAGAGTCAGACATGACTGAGCATGCATGAAATCTTATGTCCAGAGCTAGCTTTAAGAAAGGCTGAGGCATGTGGTCTTTAGCTAGTGGTTCATATGTAGCTAAACTTGGGAATCACAGAAGTAGAAAGGGTGATCGCATACTGGGAGGGGGATTATAACTACCAGTCTCTGTGTAGCAGTAAAAGCAGTTTGGTCTGGAACTTTAGCAATAAAAATTATCTCAGAATTAGTCCTTGTGGATAGCCTTAAAATTAATCCTCAATCTGAAGAGATGAAGTGAAATATTACTCTGATAAAAAAATCAAATTATAGCTTCTATTGCATTTTCTTTTTATCAAGGTATAATTTATGAGATCTAACTAAGGTAATTTATACCCAGTGCAATGTACAGATCTTACTGTTACAATGATCTTTGATGAATATATACCTGTTAAGACAATGAGCGTTTTCATCACTCTAGATCACTCCTTCATGCCCCTTTAAGCCAATCCCCAACACTTACATGATCACTGTTCTAAATATTATCACAGAATAGTTTTACCTATTCTAGTGCTTCATGAAAATGAAGTCAGATAGTGTATACTACTTTACTTCCTTCACTCAGACAAATGAGTTTTAAGATGCATCTGTGTTGTTGTGACTAGGATTCTGATATATGAGTTTACCAAAGCTTGTTTGTCCATTTTTCTACTGATGAACATTTGGGCTATTTACAAATTTAGATTGCTATGAATAAAGTGACTATGAATATTCATGTGTAAGTATTTTTATGGACATTTGTTTTCATTCTCTTAAATAAATATCTCAGAGCTGAATTGATGGGTCACAGGATTGATGTATGTCATGTTCATAAGAAATTGCTAGTTTTCTAGCCAGCAATTTATGAATATCCCAGGTGCTCTAAATCTGCGCCCATATATGCTTTTAGCAGAATTTTCAATGAAAGCTCTTCTAATGGTCCTATTGGGTTTTAAAGGGGGAAAAATAGGATTGATTTCTGATTTGCATGTTAGCATATTTTTCAACAACTCCTTTCCACACATCAGCAATACCTAGAAAATGTGTATAAAATTCTTTGACATATACAAAATCTTATATAGAAAAATGAACCTATGACAATTTTTTAATAAAAAAGGTTCTTAATAAGACTTTATAGTACAATGAATGCTTGGAGCCAGAATACCTGGGTCTTATCTCTGAGCCCTAGATTTTTCATCTACAAAATAAACAGCCTTTTCAAGGTTTTTGTGAGATCTAACTCAGGTAATAAAGCTCAGCAGTAGCATGGAGCCTAACAGAGAATAAAGGATGAGTATGTTTTATTAGAACCTTATCACATAATCATGAAGATGATCATCATCACCATAATTATCCTTATCTTCATCACTTCATCATCACTCTTAACTGTTCCCCAAACTTTACCATACTCCAGGAACTACTGTGTACTTACATCTTCTAATTAAAGTCTCAAAACAATTCTTCACTTCAGCACTGGTACTTTATAATTTGTTATGCGGCCGTTGGCCCTTCTATCCATGGGTTCCAGCTTGTGCCAAGTCATGCCCACTGCTTCGAGCTCTCTGTATGCTGGAGCAGCTACCATTGTACCAGGAGCCTGCACAAACACAGAGGCATCACTTAGCGCAAACCGGAATTCGTGGGCAGAAATGTCAACTGTGACGCAGGTCCTTCATTTCCTTGTCGCCTGTTGGAGAGGGGGTCCTTACCCGGACCGGAAGTCCACAGTGCATCCGGCTGCGGACTTCCGGCTGCGTCCGGCTGCGTCCAAGCATGTTCTCTGCCCTGCTCTAGGGGCTCTGGGAGCTTGTGCAGCTGCTCATCCTTCCGACTCCAGGTTCCAGCCTGTACCAAGGGCCACTGCAGCTGCCGGTTTACACGCAACGCACGCATCATATAACAGATGGAGAGCCTGAGCTCGGAAGAAGGGCATGACCTGCAAAGTTAGCAAGCTGAAGAAACAACGTTCAACTCCAGGCTGTGTGACTCAAAGCCACTACTCTAAGTTGCTATGAGATACAGGCACCTTACCTGGGATTTCAATCACTTATTTATCGTAAACCAAACTGGGACTTCCCTTCTATTTTGGATGCCAATTCTTCTTCATGTGTTGTGTCTATGGAAGCCATATGGAGAAATCAAGTGCATGTAATAAATTTGCATGCATGGTAGCGTGAAAACTGAAAATGAGAGCACTGACCCAACGACAAACATCTTAGTATCTAGGTCATTTCAAAGCAGAGCTTTAGGACACAGCTTTGTTTTAAAGATCAGAGGGAACAGTAACTTTGGTCAGACAGACCAAGATCAGAATCACATCTCTCCCCACTTACTGGCTGTGTCATCTGGGACCTGACCCTGTTTTCAGGAATCATTTGTACTCATACGGCTAAAGGAAGGTTTCTTAGCATGTCTGGTTTTGCATGGCGAACTGTCACAATATCCATTTAGCTGGACTTAAGTGAAGATTTTTTTTTTTTTTTTTAGAAATTAAAGCATTTTCCACTGTTGTGAGTGAGAGCAAGTCAACAGCTGCTGTAGAAGTGTCAACACTCACAGATACCTTCCAATTATCCTTGAAGCTCTGATGACAAGAAAAAAGCAATAGTCTTTGCCTGAGGAGTTGCCTGTGGGAAAAGCACAGGCATTTTCAAGTGCACTAAACAAGTGGATTTGACAGAATAAGAGAATCTGAATGGAACCATAGTCAAGCAGAGTGGCTTTCATCACGGTAATCTCTGCCAGGTCCAGTCCATTACTCTCAGGGTACAAAGAGGCCTATTTCCACATAGCAAAGGATATGCTGTATGAGATTGGAAACAGTCTCAGGTTTCTGGAAAAAAAAATCCATCTTGTTTCTATGTATACAGATTGAGCACACTATTGACCAAAGTTGTGGCACCACCCTGGTTTTGATGATGATGATGATGGAGTTTTTCATATTAATACTTAGCCTGAAATCAAACCAAGTGAGTTTGAATCACGGTTCTATCACTTACTGGATGTGTTCTCTTAAGGAGATCCCTTAATCCCCTGGTACCACAATTTCTTTCCCATTAATAAGGGAAATAATAGAGTTGTTCTGAGAATTACACCAGTTAGTTATTATACTTAACCCAGTGAGTTATACTACCACAAATTGTTATTAGCAGCTGTTCCTACCTCAGCCTTCCTGTCTCTGACACTGTGGTTGACATTTGTATTCTGTGTCCTTTCTATCAAGGTCATGGTTGTCACTACTGTCACATGTAGGTAGGGTACTTTATGCTCTTTTAAAAGCCTGCCTATTCCTTCACTTAGTTATCTTTGTAACAATCCACGGAGGCAAAGAAACTGCAACTCGGGAGCTCATCCAATAAAACATGTACCCTAACAAAGAACTGTCAGGCACATTAGGGCCTGAATTATGTACCAGGAGAAATGCAAAGATGTTTAGAGGGGCTTTCAGACTAGTAAGAATAGGCAGAGAGATTTAGAAACTAACTTTGTTGACTTGCTCCAATATTGCAGACTTTTTGTTGGGTGAATCACCAGTATTAGCTATTATTATCCTTATTATGCTGTTGTTGTTGCTCAGTTGCTAAGTCGTGTCTGACTGTGACTCCACAGACTATACAGTGCAAGCATAGTTTAAATTGAGGTTTCACAGGTAGTAATAATCAGAATGGAATTTTAGCCCAGTTATACTTGACTGGAAACTTCATGTTCTTTCCACTATGCAATGATGTTCATTCAAATAATAATAGTAACTAAAGCATGCATAAGGGCCACCCATCACAAAGCAAAATGACAGGAGGAATCCATAATAGAGCTTGCACTGCTATGTCCAGTGTATAGATTCTGAGGGTGAGTGACTGGGAGCCTCAGAAACTGGTATCAAAGACGAGGCTCTAATCGATCAGCTTTATCTCTCCAGCGCCTATCACAGGGCAGATCACGGGGACTGAGTATGTGCTGGTGTAATGATGGGGACAGAAGAGGCAATGAGCAGTCAGGGGAAGGAGTAGGCTGGGTGCAGAAAAGGCCCACTGGTCTTCAATATCCCTATGGGTTTCTATTGTCCTTTTGACATGCTTCCTAAGTCACTAAGTATTTTGCTCATTCCTCTTTTTGTGCTCTCTGTTTTTTCAATATTCTAGATAGGAACACAGTTTCCAGGTGCTATATGCTGACAGACGATTGATACAGTCTGGAAAAGGATTGTCATTTCTGTTAGGTTCTTAGACCTCTGAAGGCAAGAGCATTTTGGCAATAGTACCACATTTGCTCAGATCTATTACTAAGCTTCCCGTTAGCAGTTATCTGAGAACCTTTTGACAGCAACCCCAACATTCTGCACATGCATGATTTATTTCTTAAAATGGAAACTCAGAACTTGATAATTACTTCTGCTGGGCTATTCATAAAGAGATGGCTTTCTGAAAGATGTAGTTTTAGGGATTGTTTAGATGGTGGGAGTGTGTAGGTTGAATGTCAGTGTAGGTAGAGAGGCTCGTTAGGCTGAAGGTATGTCCAGGGATGGCTGAAGAGGTTGATAAGTAGCTTTTGGTCCAGGGGTCTGGCCCGGTTGGGGGAAGGAGACTGCCTGGGAGAAGACCCTATAGGAGAGGGTGAGGGCCTTAGAAAAAATATGGCTGCAATGAGAAAGGTGGTCCTAGTGGTAAGAATCCTCCTGCCAATGCATGAAATATTAAGAGACAGGGGTTGTATCCCTGGGTTGGGAAGATCCCCTGGAGGAGGAAATGACAACCCACTCCAGTACTTTTGCCTGGAGAATCCCATGGACAGAGGAGCCTGGTGGGCTAGGGTCCCTAGGGTCACAAAGAGTTGGATGTGACTGAAGCTACTTAGCACGCACACATGCATAATGAGAAATAGCTATAAGGCCTGGAATGGGCTGGGAGGAAAGAGAGGAAGTGAGCTCTGGGAGAACGTGTGGCCTCTCATCTTTCCCATCTCCTCAAACCCCTCCTGGCAGGACTGCCTGTACTGTGCTCTGAAGCACCAAAGAGAGGCTAAAGCAATAGGTTTTCTGTCTCCAGTAAATTGAGTGTCTACTTCCATGTGTTAAACCTAGGATAAAAATACCGTGAACAAGGCTAGCTTGATTCAAGGGCAGCATTTCTTCTATAAGTCCCATATACTGAGGATGATTCATAATTACAGTGGACGCTAGAAATAGGAATCCCATTGTGGTCCTGCAGAGTGTTCCCACATTCAATTATTGCCTTTCGCTTACCATGCCTAATGAGTCCCAGCAGTTAATAGCTAATATAAGAAGCAGAAAGCCACTTGTCACATTTCAAAAATATTCCATTTCTTTCTGGCTGCTCTTGTGGCTTTCTATTCGGAGAGCCAAGATTTACCCTCAGCACCTTCTTACTCCCTTTTTACCCATTTGAAAGAACTAATGTTCTAAGTGCCCCTGACATCATTTTTGGCTGAGGTAGTTTTTTTTTTCCCCTTCTGGAGGGAATTTTACCAAGTATTTTTTTCACAGCCTTAAAATTTTGGTAGAGACACAGTGACAAGGGGATTAAAGGCAGGAGCCCAACTTACAATGTATTTTTAAAAATGATTATTGAGTCCATCTGGTTTTACTAATCATAAGCAGAAGTTATTCTTGCTTTCTGTTATGTAGAATATTATCACTGAAAAATTACAGCAAGGACAGAGAACTTAGTGATTTTAGCAAGGAAATGGGGTTCTTAGCATTTTGCCAGTTTCAGGTCTTCTGGGAACAGAACACCTTTACTAAAGCTGACTGGGACAACATGAAGGATGAAGCACTTGGACCTCCTTGGTCACTGGCCTCTGAAGCAGGGGAGGGGAGAATGCCGGTCTACTCCCCACCGGAGACCCCTTCAGAAGTGACACAGGGCTTGCCACAGGCTGACTGTGAGGTTGCCCTTGGGAATTGCAAGGCATCTAAGATCCTCATCTCAATGATAAGGTGTCCAGGCATAACATCTGGGAAGCCATCCTCTCAAAAAGCACAGCAGTTTCTTTGTGTAGTAGTCTCTCTTCTTTTCCTGGCCTTGCCATCTCTCAGGACTCCCATCTAACCATACCAGCTTACCCCAAACTGTCTGGAATTCAGAATGTCTTTCCAACTTTGCTGTCTATAACTAGATCCCCTGGACTCTATAGAATTAAGATGTTAGGAAGTTGAAAACTGACCCGGCAGGTCTATATCTGTGATGGAGAAAGTAGGTTTGTACCTTATTGCTTCTTCATCCAGGAATATAAGAGGAGAGACCTATAAATCAACAAGGTGCTATGAGACTGAATCCTAGGGTCTCTGCAATATTCCAGCTGAAATCCTGTAGCCAGAACTCAGCAAAGGCTGGAAGGAGTTTAGGATTCAGGAAGAAAGCACGTCCTGAAGTGTCACATGTACCTGGTAGTTGGAGAAGGCCTATTTTGTGGTTCAGCGTGGGAAGCCGTCTGAGCGTGGAGGGCCCCTGAAATGTTGAAAAGGTCAGGAGAGGAGCAAGTAATGTTTTACTTGCATAAGAGCATAATGGTTCATTCTGCCTCTATGAAAAAAATATTTTGAATAGTAATGTGTGCATCAGAGAATAGTCTTTTCATTATTAGAGCCATAGCTGTAGAAAGAAAAGCTAGAGACTAAACTCCATCAATGATGTGAGAGAATAGCACTGAAACATGTACATTACCATATGTAAAACAGATGACCAGCGTAAGTTCAAGGCATGAAGCAGGGCATCCAAAGATGGTGCTCCGGGACAAGCCAAAGGGATAGGGTGGGGAGGGGGTTTCAAAATGGGGGGACACATGTATATCTGTGTGTGGCCGATCCATGTTGATGTATGACAAAAACCATTACAATATTGTAAAGTAATTATCCTCCAATCAAAATAAAGTAATTA